TGTGTGTGTGTGTGTGTGTGTGTGTGTGTGTGTGTGTGCGTGTTTGCAGAGGGGGGAGAGGACGACAGCGCCCCCTCGCGGCGCAACTCGCATTTCCGTGACGTCAATTCAGCACTGGGAAGGAGACAGCTCCCTCCCCCAAAAAACCCAGCGCGCCTCACGTTGCATGGGTCCCCGGTTATTGATAACACAATTTACCCGCTGGGATCCATCCCAGGAACGTGAAACTCGTGGATACAGGCGCAGGAAATACGAGAGGCGCCCCGGAGCGGAAAAAAAACAACGATTTGCTCATTATCGCCGTCAAATCGAGAGCCGAGCCCACCCCTTCACTTGACAACGCGACATCAACCAGGCAGAAAGGTATGGGAATGTCATACTATCCCGGTTAAAAGCTGATTGAATTAGAAATCAGGCATCACAGGACGGTTGGGTAGGATGCTCGGTGCGGTGGCGCTCATGCCGCTCACACTGCACCACTGAACTGATGCTGCCAAGAGACGAATCATCGTCGATGAACGCCACAAAATCATATTTGTGCAGCGAAGGGGAAAAAAGCTCACATTACGAAAGATCTGTGTTGATGCCGACGTTGAGTAAATGTACAGACGCTGCGGCAGTTTCACTTGGCATGGACCATAGTAGGCATCGGGCTTGCAATTCATGCACGTCGGCTATGATGCTGCTGAGTGTCATCATCACATCCTCGGTTATTTAAAGATTGATCTTCCTGCGTGCATGCGTGTGTGTATATATGTGTGCGTGTGTGCGCGTGTGTGTGCACTGCTCCTTCGCACAGGCCTGGTGCTTGTTTATTGCCCGTTTTTTCACGCTCTCATTTCGCTTCGCCGCCGTGGCTCTTTTCGTGCAGTGGTGCAGTACAAGACACGGAGCTGGTGTAGGATATGTGAATTGGGTACATGTGCTCTCTCTCTCTCTCTCTCTCTCTCTCTCTCTCTCTCTCTCTCTCTTTCTCACACACACATGCACGCACGAACGCACATCCACACTGAGGTGGTTATGCAATTTGTCATATTCTTCATTACACACCACGCTCCTCGCTTGATGCATGACGGACGGCATATGGAGCTGCTTTTGCTCGGGTCCCGTCAGATGCTGATGCTGCTCAGAGGGACAGTTAAAGAACAGGTGACAGTCGGGGGCTGTGCACTGTGCAACCTCCTCTGGTCGATTCATTCATAAAGCCCATCTCCACTCTGGGTGATGGCTCCACTGGGCCGGCTGGTTCTCCCATTCACAGACACAGAGATTGAGGCTTTAGTGCATGATTCAGACAGAATTTGGTTGTGGAGATGGAGTGGCTGAGTGGATAAACCGGGGGGACTGGCTGAATGCCCAACTCACAGCACGACTCCACTGTTTTGGTGTTTTGCATTGTTTGAATGGAAGAAAAGTTAGTGCCAACTGTGGAAGATACTGGAGGTGAAAGCAGCAGGAGCTTCAGCACTGGACAGTTCCATTATGCAAAAATAATATGTTTTACTGGTGGATCTGTCCGGTGCTGAAATCAACCTACATGCTGAAATCCAGAACAGCATTAAGGATACTGTGAGTTGACTGGAATAGTTAGAAATCACTCTAACGCATCTGTTATCATAAATCCTCTTCTTTAGGCTTTCTTCTCGTCTTTCCATCCTCCGTCCACCCTAACCTGCTGTGTCGGGGAAACCCCTGATGAGTGGGACCTGTATCCATGAGCCCCGTGCCCCTTCCCCTTCCCTGTCAGGCTTCAGCACCCCCATCTCAGAACCCCCCTATCGAAGACTCGATGGAGACACCCCTGCTTGCACCCCTGAAACGGACCTGACCCCCACACAGTGTGTCCTCCGTAACGTATTGTCCATTGACACTGGTGGACAGGTGGTGCCGGGCGGCAGCAGCCCCACTCCCAGTGATGGACCCTCGGCCCACTTTGACAACAGCGTGCTAAAACTACATGAACATGAGGCCTGCCAGTGTGGCGGTGGGGCCGAGGCGGGGCACAGTCCAGAGGCTGGCGCTGTTCGGAGCCAGTCAGAGAACATTCGGCTACAATCAGGAAGTGGAGGTTTTTTGGAGGGACTGTTTGGATGCCTAAAACCAGTCTGGACCATGATTGGAAAGGCCTACTCCACTGAACATAAACATAGCCAAGAAGGTATGTGAAGATAAAATGTGTCACCTCTATGCTGTCTGACCTTCTGTTTGGAAAGAGAAGTCAGACTAAACTGTCTTAAACATGTCAGTCAATCAGTAAGTGAAAATGAATATCTGATGCTTCGACTGTATAGTGGTGGAAGACGTTCAAGCGCAGTGGTATTATGAGCAATTAATCTGCAAATTTATATATATTTTTGGACTTTTCTCTCTTATTGCTTATTTGGTGAAACATCAGTGCTGGGCCTCAAACAGTAATTGAAATAAAATGTGGTGGAGGCACAAACCACAGCCTAAAAGGTTGGTAATTGCTGGTTTAACCTTTGACTCTGCATTATGTTTTATAGTCCTATGCTGAAAAGTAACTACGGCTATCATAGAAAAAACTATGGAGCTCCGAAATACAGTGGAGCAGAAGTTTAAAGTGGCAGAAAAATGGACAGCCACTTCAGATTGTACTTAAACACAGCACTTAAGTAAATTTGCTTTGTTATTTTCCCAAACTAGAACTCCAATTTTTTTCATGACTGCCACCTTGTCCAGCTGCCAGCATGACTGTGTTTGTGGGTCTGTCAGTGCGGCTCATCAGCTACACTGAGTTTTCACAGCTGGTCAGGAGGAAGCATCATGTGCCTCCACTGCTGCAGCTCTCCGGAGATCTCGACACTTCAGCGGACCTCATGAAGAATTGATCAGCCTGTCTCTTTTATTCCGCTGGGCTTGTCCATCTTTAGTGACCATGCTCTCACAGTCATTTAAGTAATGTCAGTATGACAGATGACAGACAGATTAGGCTATAAGTGGATTGTTGCTTTTCCCCTCGATTTTTCTCTTATCTCTGGATAGACATGAAACGGTCTACTGGATAAGCTGTCAATATGCCATTTGTTTGAACATGGCAGGCGCTTTGTATGATGTAATTGTGTCCTGTTAGCCTATTCTAATGTGTAACAGGGGCCTACCATTTGCTCAGCAAACCCCCTAACTCTTTTCTGTCCAAGCTGAGGAAAGTGCATATTGACAATTTGAGGCTTTGTAATGTGTGATGGATATAAATTAAGTAATTACTCCAAGAGTTCTGCTGCAAAAATTCAGTTGCAGTGCATGTGTTTCACTGTGTAACTTTCCATGGGTTCATATTTACTCACTTAGGTTTGTTTTCTTGACTTGTTGGTGTGAGTTTAGAGTCCTGGGAGGTTCCTTTTGAGGAAATCTCTGACCTGCAGTGGGTGGGCAGCGGGGCACAGGGGGCTGTTTTCCTCGGCAAGTTCCACGGAGAAGACGTAGCAGTAAAGAAAGTGCGGGACATCAAAGAGACAGAGATCAAACACCTCCGCAAACTCAAGCACCCCAACATCATCACTTTCAAGTAAGGAAACTACTACTGGTATTTTACCGGGTCACATATTTCAGTTATTTCACTCTGATCGTGTCTTCCTTTTCTGTTCACCGGCTGTCCATTATCTGACTGCTTTGCTTCCTTCCAGGGGTGTGTGCACCCAGGCTCCTTGTTACTGTATCTTAATGGAATACTGTGCTCAAGGCCAGCTGTATGAGGTACTGAGGGCAGGCCGTAAAATTACCCCGTCCCTCCTGGTTGACTGGTCCATGGGCATTGCAGGCGGCATGAACTACCTACACCTCCACAAAATCATCCACCGAGACCTCAAGTCCCCCAAGTAAGACTCGGCACAGCCGAATGATGAGTTTCGTCCAACACAGGAGCTGGAATTTCACATTATGTCCATTTAATCTCAACTTTGCAGCATGCTGATCACACACGATGACCTGGTGAAGATCTCTGACTTTGGCACCTCAAAGGAGCTAAGTGACAAGAGCACCAAGATGTCCTTTGCCGGCACTGTAGCCTGGATGGCTCCTGAAGTAATTCGGAATGAACCAGTTTCAGAAAAGGTGGACATCTGGTAAGTCTGATAAGCAGTCACATTTTTATTTCTAGATTACAATTCCATCAGCAAAATTTCCACCATTAAGTGGGGCAATTTAGCAATTACCTTTAATATACTACACTACAGAAAAAGCGCCGATAATGTACTGTGAATCAATAGCTATGATCACATTTTTGCAGTGATGTTTATCCCTCTGAGGTATTTGAAGTTCTACTTATTCAACTTTTGTGACTGAATTGTTTTGTTGTGATTTGTTGAACATATTTCGACTCCAGTGAAACTTCCTAAACCAACAAGCTTTACTTACCTTAAAGGTCCTTTGGAGTGGTGCTGTGGGAGATGCTAACTGGGGAGATCCCTTATAAAGATGTAGACTCGTCTGCCATCATCTGGGGCGTGGGAAACAACAGCCTTCAGCTGCCCATACCTGAAAGCTGCCCAGATGGCTTCAAGATCCTCCTCAGACAGTGCTGGTGAGCAGCGCCTGCAAATGGACAGTTGAAAAATAATGAGCACATCAGGGAGGAGAGGACAGATGAGTGTATGAGAGTATTGGAAGCAAGGGTTGAAAGTAGTAGCACGGGGCGGGGGGGTTGTCTGTGGTTTAAGGACTTTATTGATTTTAAGGTGCATTGTAAATATACACAGCTGTGTTTCTCATCTTGGGTTTGCAGGAACTGTAAGCCCAGAAATAGGCCTTCTTTCCGTCAGATCCTTCTTCATCTGGATATAGCATCAGCTGATGTACTGTCCACTCCACAAGAAACATACTTCAAGTCTCAGGTATGGTTGCATCTCTGAGTCCAGATCTGAATGTAAGAACAATATAGTTTACCAAAAATACCAAAAAGTCTTCATAATGATACATTATACATACATATATATATATGTGTCTGTATATATATATGTGTGTGTGTGTGTGTGTGTGTGTGTGTGTGTGTGCGCAAACAGACACAAATACACATGCACCCACACATTCTTGCAAAGTAATCAGACATTTAAAGAGAACTGGTTTAAAATCAGTTCTGACTAGACAGAGCTGGTTTAACAGAAATGTGCTCTCATCAGGCTGAATGGCGAGAGGAGGTGAAGCAGCACTTTGAGAAGATTAAATCTGAGGGCACTTGTCTCCACCGACTCGATGAGGAGCTGATCAACCGACGCAGAGAGGAGCTCAGGTGGATTTTTTTTACTGTCATTCCAGCCTAACTCCAGGCGTTACACCACGCCAGATTAGTTGCAACCAGAGCTTACATGTATGAGGCCATGTTCCCTCTGTCCCATTTCTTGCTGTCACTCCTTTGTCTGCCCCTGTGGATGAAATAACTACCTTGAGTGCCCGTCTATTATAGAGGATTTGGATTCTCTCATGCGGATGCACAATGACATCAGCAGCTTCTTTTCTCCACAGGCATGCTTTGGACATTCGTGAGCACTATGAGAGGAAACTGGAGAGGGCTAACAACCTCTACATGGAACTCAGTGCTGTCATGCTGCAGCTGGAGCTCAAAGAGAAAGAGTTGCAGAGGTACAAATATGCTTGAAAAATAGTGATGCGCTTTACGAATTGATAAACCTCACTGCATTTACACTTTGGTATTCCTTTTCAGGAGAGAACAGTCTTTGGATAAGAAGTATCCAGGTTTATTCAAGCACCATAGCTCCAGACAGAGCAGCTCCTCCAACTCCATGGACAAACTCATCAAGAAGAGAAATGTCCCACAGAAACTGCCCTCGGGAAAGAGGTGTGAGATCTCATTTCAGTGGGTATTTGATAAATGATTGATAGTAAAATGGATAAATGAACATTCTCCAGGCTTGTGGATTGTAGTTGTTGACTAATCCCTCCCACTCTTTCAGACCAGACATCCTGAAGTCTGAGGTAATCATTCCCAAAATGGATTCCTCCGTCATGCAAGTCACTATCCCAGCCTGCCCCAACAGAAGCTCCACTTCCCCCAGCCGGTCTCGGAGGGTAAAGACCCGCCATCGCAAGCCTGGTAAGGGCAGCAGTGGGGACCTGGCTGGACTTAAGGCGACTCAGTCCTCCCCCAACAGGGACACAACTGCCCAAGCTAACAGTTCTACCACTAACACCTCCAAGCAGCTCCTGGAGCCCTCTGCAGCCCTGCGGGGCCTCAGCCACGAGCAGCAGCAGAGGCAGCTATCCTCCTCCAGCCCTGACCTCATCTGCACCACACTGGAAGCAGAAGGCCAGGGCAAAGGGGAGCCCTCTGTAGGCGGGCTAGAGAGAGGGGGGAGCCTCAGTGCCTCTGCCGGCTTAGGGGGGTCAGAGGGAGGGGCAGCCGGTCTGGATGACCTCACAGAAACTCCTCCACGCAGCGACACTCCCAGCGAGGACGCGGCTTCGTTCCCGTTCTCCAGCAGCCCAGACTCACCGTGTGGGAGGGGGGCGGCAGCAGGACGAGGATCTCTGGGATCTCCACGCCTTCCTCACGACGGGGAGGACAAAGAGGAGGGAGCTGGTGCTGTGAGGTTGCCACGGGGGGCTTCAGGGGGAATTGGGAGTCAGCACCTCACACCTTCAGCCATTCTGTACAGGGCAGCTATCACACGCAAACAGGTACAGTGCTGGATATCTGTTCATATTCCTCGCTATCCCTCTGGCGATACTTTGATCATTTTCACTTGTGCATTTTTCCTGTATCTCACTACAGAGGCGTGGAGTGTCATCAGAAGAGGAGGAGGGTGAAGTTGACAGTGAGGTTGAGTTACCACGGAGACGGTGAGTAACTTGCTGTCCTTTGTCACTTGAAAATTCCCTCCAGCCATCTTCCATCTCTGAGAAGTTGCTGATTTATTCAGAGAACTAAAAATAATTTCTAATTATTTGCATCGTTCTTTTTCACATTCAGTGATTCTAAAACTCTGTTTTGTTGTTTCTGTTTCAACCTCTCCAGGCGTCCAACTAGCATTACCAAGTGTCAGTCGGTGTCTACGTTCAGTTCAGAGAACCTGTCGGTATCAGACGGTGAGGAGGGCCACACCACCGACCACTCTCACAGCGGTACTCCTGACGTGGTCAGCACCAACACTGACGACAGGTTGGACGACCGCAGTGACGACCTCCTCTCTCAGGGGTCGGAGATCCCCGCGGACAACACCGATCCAGCACAGGCTTCTGATGGCCTGTCGGAGAGAGACGGAGCACTGGGGCAGGGCAAAACTCAGCTGGACGCTGGGCAGAATCCTAATGAGGTAAAGAAGCTCCACAGAGGATTGCATGTGTCAGTTTGTGTCATCCTCTTTCCCCACTGTAACCAGTGGTGGAAAGTACACTTACTCAAGATCTGTACATAAACACGTATTTTTTTGTACTTTACTGGAGTATATCCACTTTATTTTACCACTCTATTATACTCTAGGTACTGATCAGATTAGCAATAATGTGATAAACCTAAAAAAAATAAAACATTGTTAAAGATTAAGCCAGAGGTTCACAACCTTTTTGGTCTTTGATACCTTACAAGGCAGCATCCTCTAGTTGGGACCTTTTTGCCACATTATCAATGTCTGAGTTCTCATATTATATTCTTGAAAAACCCTACGAGGCCCAAAAATATACACATATCCATGATTTTAAGGTTGGAAACCAGGTGAAAAAAACATCTGACTGTATCGAAAGTGGAGAAACTATCTCCACCTTGTCCCACAACAGTAATAAAATGCTGCTTATGCATTTTACTGAAAACATTTCACTACAGAATGAGTACTTTCACTTTTGAGACTTAAAGTACTTTACCCTCTAAACCTAAAGCAGTGTCTTTGCATGTTTTGTTCCTGATACATTTTTACACGCTGTAGGCTCAATTTTCACTGCAATATAAAAGTCCTGTGCCTCTATGGAAACAGCAAAACCATGGCTAGAAGTACAGAGAACTCAGAAATGTCTTTTTGTGCTGTTTGGCAAAGCCAAATAGTCCCTTAATTTTTGTCATGTTCCCATTGGTCACAGCTGAATCACTATCGACTTCACTGTCGTGGAGAGAGGAGTACAGGATTTTTTGTGTTCTGCAGATTCTGCGGTTTATTTTTGGAGAATTTTTAAATGTAGAGTACAATTATTTTTGACAAACTATCATGGTTATAAGTTTAGATATTGATACTTTTTTCGATGGTGAGTAGTTCAAGGACCGTCTGAAAGGTCACAATCTGACAATTCTTTCTATTTTGACAGCTTCTGTCTCTGATACATGATGTCTTTTTGGCATTTAAAAGAAAAAAAAGATATGCATTGTGATCCTGCCGGCGAGTTATGGAGTTCAGAGGGTTAATATTTAATAATACCGTGCCTTCACGTCACTTATTTTTACTGCCAATTTCATGTCTGCTGCAAGTCATGTGTGACACCTTCTCCCACTTCCCACTCTCTCTTTAGAGTCGGGCCTTGTGTGATGATTCTGACTGTGACAGCGCTGAGTTGGACCAGTCAGGCAGCGGAGAGCCCAGCCGTCCTCCCAGTGCTGGAGCGTGGGTACCGCCATCTCAGCCCTATCAGGGGTACCCACCGGCACCCCACACAGGACCTCCATAGGACACTAGCAAAGACCTCCAGCTACCCTACAGTGAACAACCATCACAGGCGTACACCAATCTGTCAGTGCAGTACATTACTGTTGTCATGAAGGATCACACCTACTACACCACTCAGACTATGACAAGTTGACTTATGGTGTCTCATAAGTTTGTTGGCTGGCAAACCTGCATCAGATGACATAGGACATTTGTCATAACCTGACATCAGATATTTTGGCAGCTTGTGACATCAGATAAATGTCATTTAGGTTCAGTAGGGTTTGTTTAGGCAAAATAGTTACCAAGGTAACCTTAGCCACTGCTCCAGTTCAGCAAAAACCCTTCCACAGATGCACACGCACGCACAAGAAGATACGACACTCTTAGTCCTTTAAACACTCTAACCCTCACTCTGGGAGCATCCTCCATGATACTCCACACACTAATGCATCAAATACTAATGAATAATAATGTAAATATCCATTACATACCACATGAGAAATATCTAACTTTATTTTATTTGTAAGATAAAATGTAAGACTAAACGGTATGCAGCCCTGTGAACAAATGCATGACTACATGTTTATAATTTATGGTTTGAATGTGTCCGTTTTATATTTTGTGAAAGTTTACACTTTTTTAATCCTGAAAATATTACTTCAGTTATTTTGTTTTTTGTTAATAAATGTCAGCACTCAAGAAAAAAAAAAAAAAGTCAAAATGGAATGAAAATCTCACCAAGACATTGATCATGATGCATAATTAGGGTTCTCAGTAGATAACATGTTTTTTTGTTTTTCTTTTTAACCCTCCTACGATGAGTTTTAAATACACATATGACACGCGTGAGGTTTTTATTGAGTTTATCATATTTTAGAAATGGAGACCTTTGGGTTCACTCAAAATGTACCTCTGCTATTGTATACATCGTCAGTCCACATTGTTGATCGGTTTATTAGGTACACCAAGCTAAATCAAAACCACAGGATTCCTGCGTTACATCCTACACTCGTGTAATTCATAATGTTGAATTGTTGTTGAAACTAATTTAGAAATGTTGATTGAATTCTATAGCAATGTTAGAGGATGTTTTGTGGTGCTGTGAATTCTATCTCGGTATTATATTATACAGACAGTTGTTTTTTTTTGTTTGTTTTTTTTAAATTTAGCCAATGCTCATTGATAGAAATGGGGTGCATAAAATAATAGAAATATCTGTTGTTACCATCAACACAAACTACATCCTATAAAATTACCACACACTTGAATCACCATTTCTCTAAAACAGTTTTAACAATAATGAAACACTGAAACTTTCATGACGGAAGCCATTAATGCAGGAATACTGTATTAGTTTTAGCTAGCTGTACAAAATAAACCCGCAACTCACTGTTTGCTGGTATTACAAAAGTTGTAGTTATGGAAATGACTAGAGCTTAACATTTAATCGAATTTAATTTGGAATTACGATTTGAAACAATACCAGTAGCGACAGCAATTTAGAATTAAATGTTGTGCAGTACGTCTGACCCAGTTTTACAAGTGCCCTGTTGATAAATTTGCAAATGTATTTTTTCCTTGAATGACAGTGCATCACATGCTAATACTCTGTCATGTTCTAGATCTATCACATGGTGAAAACTAAACTGAAACTTTACTTTTAAAAATTATCTTGCAAATCAAATTGCAATATATGCCTAAAAGAATGCAAAGAGATACTTCCCCAAAATTGTTAAGCCTAGAAATGACCTTTGACATGAGCTAGCATCGCTAACCAAGGTAGCAGTCCTCTGTAGTTTTGCACTCATGATGGAGCATTTAAAATAGCATTAAAATAGATACACCAGAAGCAGGGATATTTCATGTATATTCCCGTAAGCTATATATTCAATGCATTTTTGTCAATTGTCAGATGCCTTCATTACCCACAACACAGCGCTTTTACGACAGAGAATAGGTTGCTTTACGTTGGCTAGAGCCTGTGGTGCCAGCTGTGTGTTTTTCGCGGCAAATGTCACCTGGAGTTCTTGGCCGCCCACAGATTATGAGCGGGAGTTTTTCTTTTAAATACCTCTTTTCCAGAACGAAACGTCTACACGGGTTACACCGGTAAGCTTGTTGTTTTTTCTAACTTTAAATCTCCGTATTTTTTTCCACTTTCAAACTAACCGACATTGACTCGAGTTGCGTCATTCGAGGCACCGTCCGTTTCGTTAATGTGCTGCTGCGTTCACGTTATATTGTTAAATTTCTAATTACAGTAAGCCGAGCGTGAATTCTGACTTGTAATTTGTACAAACTTATTTAATGTCACAGAAAAGTAGCTAATTTAGACTATTTATTGTAACTACTGGATTAGCACAGTGCAAACTGTTTCAGAAAATGCATAAACACTTACATGTCAGAGTTTTTCCTATTCTGCCCACATCGTGTGAATGCAGCATAAAGCCACGATGGAGTCCTCTCCAAAAAGAGCTAAATAAACAGTAACTTAAATCAGTGCCGTTCTCCTTCTTAGCAATGAACCAAAAGGCCTCCTGTAGTTTGTGATGTTGGCAGGCTTAATAAAAACCTCACCTGTTCCCTTTACCCTTTAAGATTACTGCAGAAGTAGCCAGATAAAGAATAGAGCACTTCTCTGTGGTGGTTACTAGTAGAACAGTAAGTATCCTTTGGGTTTGAATAGAAATGTTTTGTTTTTATACAGCATTGCACATTGTACCTGTAACATAGGAATTATATCAAAGGCAAAAATATTATGACCAACAATAAATAATGTATTGGTTAAAAAAAAATAAAAAAATGCGTGTCATGTTTGTTTGAAAAGACAGGCCATGTCATAGCTACAGTTTGTGCTGTTGCTGCATCACATAAGACAGCTGAATGAGAAATAAATGACTATTTTCAATGACTTAAAGCATGTCCAAACCGTTCCAGTGTCATTTCTTGATGTACAAATGTACCCTTTCATAAGTCTTTACCAAAATTAATAAGACAGGGTGATATTTTTTAATTATTGCTAAATTAGACACAGATAAACAGACATCAATAAAGCAATATAATGACCAGGGGATTGTTTAAGCATTTCACATCTTTTATTTCTGCATTTCATTTCTTCAACAATTTAATTGCACCCAGATCTACAATAGTTTGAAAACGTGCACAAAACGTGAGTTTCTTCATCCTGCAAAGAATAATAAAAAATAAAATCTGACCCAGGCAAAAAAGGATAGCAGGAAACTAGTGTTAATTCTATAATTCTCCTTCTAGTTAATCATAATTTAATACCTCAGCATAATATACTTATAAAGACCAATATGTCTTGTAGTTTTGCCCCTTGCAGCATTCCCCAGCCCTGCAGTTAAAAAAAATATTTTCTCTATTTAAAACAAACATTTCAATGTTATCATCATCATCACCACTGCTATGGTCTTAGTAATTTCAGAGAAAAGAAAATATTTTCCTCTCATTCAGGCCCACTCCTGGTGACCAAGGCCCACCCACCCTTATCAGAATCCAATATACAACAATGCTCAAAAGTCCTGATCGAGAAATAAAACGGATGGAAATACAGGAATGACACAAAACAATTACTCAGCAAATTAGAGGTGAGATATAATGTAGCTTAAGTCTCCTTTGAACCCGCACTAAACAAGGGATAAATTACCTTCTGACTAAAATGTTTTTCCTGCATACATCCTCAGCTGGAGATCATTTACACTCACTGTAACCCGTTAAACCCACAATGCCTCTTTCAGGAAGTACAGCTTCAAATGGAAGATGGCAAATATCAATGAGTTCTACTCGGACAAGGAGCTGTGTATTAAATAAAAATAAATAGATATTTAAAAGGAAGGGAAAGAACAGTCCATCTATAATGTTATTGTGTCTTTTTTTCTTCATTTTTACATTTTCTAAGAAAAATCTGACATAAGAAAAACATTATTTATGCCTTTTCAGATTTTTCTAAAACTTTACCTACAGTATATCAAGAAGATCATACAGATATACAGCAAAATAAGAGAAAAATACAACAGAAGGAAGTCTTTAAAAACTATATGCAAAGGGAATTTAAAAACATAATAAATAAATAAAATACCAATATCATGATGGTGTAATTACAACTGAGTAGGTGTCTAACCAAAGCACAGGAGAAAACAGTGAGTTTATAGTACTTGGTTTTTGCATTAAGTTCAATAAGGGACCTCTTGGTAAAAAGTAGGGGGAGGGGTTACATTAGGTGCTGATGAAGATCCTCCATGTCAGTTGGCTGCAAGTCCAGTAGCTTCAGAAGACAGCCTGAGTAAACACAACAGAAAACATAAAAACGTCAACCCTAATATTTGATTAATAATACAGCACATTAAATATTTAGTCAGTGATACATTGATTGATGTGCTACTGTAACTCAAACAGGATAATCACAGTGAAGCAGAGAGAAAAGTGAATCCCACTGACAACTACTACCTGTATTTGGCAAAAGCTAAAACACCACCCAAAAGCACAACGCCAGATGAGGCCAGACTCAGACTACAGCAGCTTTAAAATCCTAACAGATTTTGAGATCAGGTTGCACAACAAACATAAGCAGAAACTTCAGATATTCCTTCCTTTAATCTTCGACATACACATACTACAGATTGGAAAATAATGATGCATCAAGCACTATAGTATGTTAAGATTACTGTGCCAAAGGGAGCAGTCAGGGAACTGTGCACTACCTCACTTGATATCATGAGGACGCAGATTAACAAAATGAACACTGGTGCAACAACTTGCTGTAACGTAAATTAATAATTACCATACCAAAATGGTTGGGGTAATGCAATCAATAAGGGTTTTTTTTTTATAGCAAGAATTGGAGGTGAATTAGTTTTATTATCTATAGTTAGCATTCGCCTCAAGGGCTAGGATGTCGATAGTTGCTGGCAACAGTGTCCGCTGCCCCAGGCAGTAGCATGATTACCATAGCCCGCTCGATTTTTGCTCATAAATATCAAATGTGTTAGATATTAATCG